AGGTGGATGAGGAGGTCTTTACCACAGGCCCGCGGAGAAGCATCGCACTCTTGAACATGCCCTTGCGGCTGCACGAACAGGAGTCCTCCAGGAAGGCACGAATGCACCGAGTCCTCCTTGCGGTCAATGGGGCTGAAGCGGTCACCTCGTCGGGCAAACGGCTCTGGTGCTCTTACTCTAAGTCGAAGCAGGAGAGGGAGACTGGGGCGCACTGTGCCTGGGTGAAAAGATCCCTTGGTTCGGTTTCGGACGACCTCGCGGCGGCAGTGGATGTGGAGTATGCCACAGGCTCGGTGTGGATGGGGGATAGCCTTGTGGCCAGCGTCAGCCGACAGCCCAACACAGGAGCGAAATCTCATGAGATGATGGTGGACTCCAATGCGGAGACATGTAAGCCATGGGTGGATCTCGGCGCGTTCTCTAGGGAATCGAAGCTAGGGGTTGACAAGCTCCGGGAGATTCTGGTGGCTAATAGGAGATGACTTCAGCGGGGCCTTGACCGCCTTAGGGGGCTCCTCGGTCGCTGCCGTGAGGGGGTCAGGCACCTAACTATGCATGCTACAGTGGGAACCGATGGGTCGGCTGATAAGTCCCAGACTATGACTTTGGCGGATCCTTTGGTTCGTGCAGAAAGGGGTGTGGAGCAGTTTTTTGAATTCGGGAAGGACGCCCGAAGACCGGAGTGTCCTCAAAGGGGACCTTCTGCTTTTGCAGGAGCTGCCGCGAGGCAAGTCGGGATGGAGCAAGTGGTACCAAGGGTCGTGGGTTGTTCTTTCCCACCAACCAGAAAGCCAGTGGAGGGGCACGGGTCTCCTCTTCTGCAAGGATGAGTGGTCGGTCCTCCGCAAACGTCCGGCCGGCAAAGGTACGTGGTTCAAGCTTCGTCGGCTAAAGGACTCAAGCGAGATTTGGGTTGGAACATACCACTTTACTCCGGGTTGTACAGTCGACTGCTTTGCATCGCAGGTGGACCTTTTCGTGTCTCAGGCCCCAAAAGAACCGGACAGGCTCGTGGTGCAAGGGGACGCTAATGCGGGGTTTGGTTGGACGGAGACTTCAGGGCAGTGGGAAGCAGTTGGCAAGGATGCAAAAGCACTTATTCTTCTGGATCGGTTTGCGAGGCAGGGGCTCCACCTTGTGGCCCCCCTGCCGCCTTCTAGGGGGCTTCCTACGTCTCGCCCCAGGCAGGAGGGCAGACAAGGGCGGCAGATTGACACGGTGGGGGCAAGGCGCCTTAGAACGGAGGGGGTCACCATCTTTCGGGACTCCTACCTGACACTGGGAACAGACCATGAGTTGCTATGTTCCAGCTTCCGGATTGTGCAGGGCAAAGGGGTGACGCGCTTTCAGACTAAGCCCAGGGTGTGGACAGGAGGGCCTCCGACATTGGAGTACGTGGACCAAACCGTCCTGGAGAACTTGGCGGCTAAGTGTACCCGCCCTCAACCCAGCCATGCCTACCGTGACCCGCAAGCTGTAAAGGACCTCTTCCGAGCCGCCAAAAGCTCTAAGACCAGGGACGCTTGGAAGACTGCGCTGGCATCTCGCAAGGCGGCCAGGCAACAGTGGGAGCGACAGAGGGAGTCACGGGCACTGCAAGGGGACTGGAAGGCCTTTCAGCAAAGCAAGGTTCAGGCGAAGCAGGGTTGGGAAATTGACTTTGCTGATAGGCAGAGCCGGGATCCACATGATGTTGTGCACGATCACCTCAGTGGTATCTACAAGGGCCAAGGGGGTGACATTCAGCCGGTCTACGACACTAGCCAGGAGGTGACAGCCTTTACGGTCGAGGAGCTTCAGACGGCACTGGGGCAGCTCAAAGGGTCTAAGTCAGTTGGTCGTGACCTTACATCCAAAGAGCTCTTACTGGGCATTGTCCACACGGACGGGGGACAACAGCATCTACTGGAGTTCATGAACCGTACACTGGCCACTCAGAGCATTCCGGCCGAATGGAATAGGCCTCTCCTCATTGTTCTCCCTAAGCTCGACCAGCCGGCTTCCCCGGGGGATCTCCGGCCGATTGCGCTCGGCAGTACTGGGGCTAAACTCTTTTCCAGGATGGTGCTTAACCGCGTCAAGCACAGTATGCCGTATGTGAGCCACGCCCAGTGTGCTGGAGGGCAGCGGCAGCCGTCAGATGTCATCTTCGCCATCTGGCGACTCTTGCAGTTGGAGAGAGAGTGGAAGGCCGGAGTGGTCATTGCACAGATTGACATCAGGAAGGCTTTTGATACCTTGTGTCGTCGTAGCTTGCTGCAGAAACTCCGTGCAGTTCTCGGTAACACGCCTGAGTACCGTTGCCTCCATAATCTGCTCTGTGGGACGGAAGCTACGCTTCAGACGGTGTGGGGGTCCTCGACTTTTGGTATGTTTACTGGAATCAAACAAGGAGCCACGGAATCGCCGCTTCTCTTCTCCTTTATAATGGAGCACGCACTGCTCGAAACCAGCCTCAGATGTGGATGGCGACACAGACCTAGGGTTTACCCTGAGTTGGAGTGTGAGGATTCCTTGTTTATGGACGATGGCCTGCTTTGGGGGAGGGATGTTGCTTCACTGGCGGCCCGCCTTCGCGAGTTTTCGGACACCCTTTCTGAGTACGGGTTGAAGTTGAATCACAGTAAATGCAAATTGTACTGCTCGCCATTCAGTGGACCTGTCCGTGCAATGCAGTTGGGTCAGTCGATTCTCCACGACAGAGGGTCGATCACAGTCTTGGGTTTGGAGATGAGAGTCGGTATGACGGCCTGTCAGTTTCTACAGCCGCTCATCACGCGGGCGAGGGGTAAATTCTGGGGCATAAAGCATCTTCTTCGTCGGCACACGCCGGCCTCGGGGCGTGCTAGGCTCATGGACAGGGTCGTCACTTCTTCTCTTATGTGGTGCTTGGGGGCAATCCCCCCGGACAAGCCGGCGCTAGGTCTCGTCAATTCCACGCAGTACATGCTTATGGGTTGGATGCTTAGACACGGGAAGAGAGGGCCAGAGAGCTGGCCAGACTTCCGACGGAGATCGGTTAGAGCGTCAAGGGCAGTTATGTGCAAATCGGGGATTAAGAGGTGGTCCACGATTTGGTTGGAGAGATGGTGGGGCTATTCTGGGCATCGCGAGAGGGCCAGTTTGTACCCGCAACCTCCTATCTCCACCCGCATTGATCATCTTCGCACTCTCCAGTGGTGGGAGGCTCAGCAAGCGGTGCCGGGTGGCCGCGGACTGTCCCA